CCACAGAGGAGCCTCGTTGCGTCCACCCGCAAAAAAAAAGGAGCCTCGTCGCGTCTTCTTCAAACACGCGGGGTGTAGATGCGGTGTTTACGCGAGAACGCGGTCGCGTCCAAGGAGTAGCGGCCATGCCACCTGCGTGACAGTGGCGCGGCTCGCCAGGTGTTCAAAAACGAGTCATTTGGCGGTCCGTGCTTCGGTTAAGTGCATGAGTGCATCCAGGTGTAGGCCACTGGGCACTGGGCACTGGCCACGTTGTGCAGCTAAGCATCGATTGAACTCATGAACTGAGCACCCGCAAAAAAAAAGAGAAGAACTCATGAACTGAGGATACACCAACCAGCGTAACTGTACAAGTGTCCACATTTCCCCAGGAATAGCAGATGCTCTGCTTTTCTCGTTAGAAAAGAAAAGAGTTACAGGCCACACGATCCGTCATTGTTAATTAACACTAAGCAGCTCTTCTTGGTGTTTAGGCTTTAGGGACATATCGAATCTTCGCTTCCCTCTAATTTTCCGACACCGGGGCGACGGGGAGATGATTTTCATCTCTCTTTGGGAGCAAAGAAAGTCTTTGGTTAGGTTTCCGTATCATGGTTGACATTGTTATCTTGCACAAAAGTCCTCTGGCTCTGATTCCATCTCGACAACACTTGGTATGGCAGTGTTGCCGAGGAGCTTGATATTTTTTGTCCTGTCGATCTTCACGGATTGATTCTTTGATGCTCGTCGGGATGACTCTATCGCCATCATCAACAACATCGTCTTCCTCAACAATCTCCCCTTTCAAGCATTTTTTAGCAATATCATCGAATTGGCCTCACGATACTGGTGCAGTTGTCTGTCTAGATTGGTGTGGTGCCCTCGCTAACATGCTTCGTGTGATTGCCAATCTTCTGTTGGGGAACGTTGCAGAAAACAAAAGTTTTCCTACGGTTTCACCACGATCCATCTATGAGTTCATCTAGCAACGAGTGATCGGATTGCATCTACATACCTTTGTAGATCACGCGCGGAAGCGTTCAAAGAACGGGGATGAGGAAGTCGTACTCGACGTGATCCAAATCACCGGAGATCCTAGCACCGAACGGACGGCACCTCCGTGTTCAACACACGTACGGTCAGCGTGACGTCTCCTCCTTCTTGATCCAGCAAGGGGGGAGGAGAGGTTGATGAAGATCCAGTAGCACGACGGCGTGGTGGTGGATGCAGGGGTCACCGCAGCAGGGTTTCGCCGTTCTACTGCGAGAGGGAGAGGTGTAGCAGAGGAGAGGAAGGCGCCAAGACTCAAGGGTGCGGCTGCCCCTCCCCCCCCTTTATATAGGCCCCCTAGGGGATGCGCCGGCCCTAGGAGATGGGATCTCCTAGGGGGGGGGGGCGGCCAAGGGGTGGAGTGCCCCCCAAGCCAGGTGGGGCGCCCCCCACCCTAGGGTTCCCAACCCTAGGCGCATGGGGTGGGCCAATGGGGGCGCACCAGCCCACTATGGGCTGGTTCCCCTCCCCATTTAGCCCATGGGGCCCTCCGGGATGGGTGGCTCCACCCGGTGGACCCCCGGGACCCTTTTGGTGGTCCCGGTACAATACCGGTGACCCCCGAAACTCTCCCGATGGCCGAAACTGCACTTCCTATATATAATTCTTCACCTCCGGACCATTCCGGAACTCCTCGTGACGTCCGGGATCTCATCCGGGACTCCGAACAACTTTCGGGTTACTGCATATTCATATCTCTACAACCCTAGCGTCACCGAACTTAAGTGTGTAGACCCTACGGGTTCGGGAGACATGTAGACATGACCGAGACGACTCTCCGGTCAATAACCAACAGCGGGATCTGGATACCCATGTTGGCTCCCACATGCTCCTCGATGATCTCATCGGATGAACCACGATGTCGAGGATTCAAGCAACCCCGTATACAATTCCCTTTGTCAATCGGTACGTTACTTGCCCGAGATTCGATCGTCGGTATCCCAATGCCTCGTTCAATCTCGTTACCGGCAAGTCACTTTACTCGTACCGTAATGCATGATCCCGTGACCAGACACTTGGTCACTTTGAGCTCATTATGATGATGCATTACCGAGTGGGCCCAGAGATAGCTCTCCGTCATACGGAATGACAAATCCCAGTCTTGATCCCTGTCAACTCAACAGACACTTTCGGAGATACCCGTAGTATACCTTTATAGTCACCCAGTTACGTTGTGACGTTTGGTACACCCAAAGCACTCCTACGGTATCCGGGAGTTACACGATCTCATGGTCTAAGGAAAAGATACTTGACATTGGAAAAACTCTAGCAAACGAACTATACGATCTTGTGCTATGTTTAGGATTGGGTCTTGTCCATCACATCATTCTCCTAATGATGTGATCTCGTTATCAATGACATCCAATGTCCATAGTCAGGAAACCATGACTATCTGTTGATCAACGAGCTAGTCAACTAGAGGCTTACTAGGGACATGTTGGTGTCTATGTATTCACACATGTATTACGATTTCCGGATAACACAATTATAGCATGAATAAAAGACAATTATCATGAACAAGGAAATATAATAACAATCCTTTTATTATTGCCTCTAGGGCATATTTCCAACATCTTCATCATACACAATGATCTTCTATTGTGGCGAATCAACAAGATTTGGTCCTCTACATGTCTTTTTGCAAGTGCTTCCTAGTTGAATTTCTTTATGTTGCCCATCATTGACGAGAGTTATGGTGGCGCAACCACAACGAGTACAATTGTGGCTTTGGCGAGAATTGTAAAGCTTAAGAATCTTAGTTGTTTTCCCTCTTTCTTTAGGCTTTTTTGTATATTTGTGGATTCAAACTACCCCTTATCTGCTTGTACTCGATGTTCATTTTATCTAAATAAGCAGGATTAATAGAAACCAATTACATGCTAGACTGGGTAACAATCGAAACAAAAACGGAAGGGCAAAAACGAAATAGGAATCCGATGTTGCAGTATGCAACTCGGCTGTCGCCTCGTCCAATAGGCATAGATATTTGCCGATGATGCTTTGTCTGACTATATATAGTCGGTCACGTTGACAAGCTTTATGTGCATTGCAGCATGCAATGTAAAGGTCCATATAATTAAGATGAGGCCTTCTGTGGCTCTCTCATGGCAGATGAACTAACCATTATGACCATGCTAGGATGGTAATAGAGTCATAAGACTTCATCTGTACGACATCAACGGCGAGATTATCGCCAATAATATGTTAATATGACATAAAAGGGACTAAAACTATCCCCCAATGTTAATACCTATAATTTCCTTGCTTCTTGGTGTTTGAGAGACCTCCGAAGACGAGGGAAACCATCAGAAACATACGATAATGGAGCTCCCCTTCTGTGGCGGCTAGGGACTATGGCTTGGCTGATTCTCATAGCCAATTTGGTCCTAACTAGCTTGTTTCTTCGTATGAAGACAAGTCACTTCTATCGATATGATTTGTGAAACAAGAGGACACTGTCACACATATAGTTCTATTTTCTTCGGAGTAGGGTGGGGGTTCCATTGGCGGAGCGCCCGTCGGATGCCTCACCACTCGCCATGTGTAGACAACAGATGCTATCTTGTGTGTCCAATGTTTTTTAAACTCTTTCCACCCTACTACAAAAACTATTACTTTTACCTTCATCTTTTATTTTTCTATCGGTAGGTGATCTTTCTATCGATTTTTCTCTCCGATGGTAGTAGATTGTCAAATACGACATGCTTCACAACTCCTATACTGACTTATGTCAAGTCAAAACATCTTTGGCATTTAATTTTTCATATAGACAGTAAAGAGAACCCCAAATGAGGGTTCTCCTGTCAAAGGTGACACATGTTATATGTGCATTGCAGTTTCACCGAGGGTTCAAGTCACCGTGTCCTCAACCTAGAAAATAGACCATGAAAAAGTGACTTGAAAACACCATAAAGATCAGCAAAAGTAAAGCTGCGTCTTTAACATCTCGCCATGAGAAGTACAATACTAAGAACGAATCAAGACTTGGGATGCTCGGTCGAAAGTCATTGTATTTTATGTAACCGTCTCTTAAAGAAGCAAAACAAGACAACATCAAGATGCCCATTGTGGCATTGTGGAGGAAGTATCACATGGAAACCACTCACTCAGTGGAAACATGGAAACTCATATGTGGTCGTTGGATATGAAAATCTAGGGGCGCTTCACCCACAAACACATTCCGCATATTTCACAAAAGCTTAGATCCTTTGTGCAAAATAATAACTAGCATTGTGGGTGCTTGTATGCAAAAACACAAGATTCAATAAGCTACCCACGTTTTAGATCTGATGGCTCATGTTTGGGTTTCGATGTTTCCACCGAGTTATTGGTTTCCACGGGATAGTTTCTTGTCCATTGTGTTTCTTCTACATCTCTCTCCTAGCATATGCGAGTGAGCAACACGCAAGTTTTCTGTACTTTGGAGAGTGTGTTGTCTCTTTAATATGTCTTCAGTTATTTTAGAACATTAGCATTTTCTTAGGGTAGTTGCCATTTCTTTGTTTTAGCATAACATTTAGCATTTACCATAAACAAAGAACATTTAGTAATTACTAGTACTCCCTTCATGTCAAAATGTAAGACTTTTTTGGTTTTGTATAGGGCATAAAAAACGTCTTAGATTTTGTTGCGGAGGGAGTATTTTTTATGCTTTTTTAGCATTTCTCGATTGACTCTCTCTTAAGGAATTTCTAACATTTTTTAGGGGTATAGGATTTTTTTGTGGGGAAGGGCAGTAGGATATTGTTTTTTTCTAACACAAGGGGGGTAGCACTTCATTTAGGCCCATCTGCCTGTCGACTAGAGCGAAGCCCACGAACCAATCCACGTGCGCCGAGCGTGTTTGTTACTTAGAGCTCGACCGGATCCATCTCGAGCCCATTACCCAGCTGCATCTCGAAATCGTCGCGCAGCATCAGGCGATTCGACCTCGCCGTTGCTCAGGCGCCGGAGACGACGACGCCGACGAGATGACGGTGTTCCACTTCCTCAACTGCGCGGTCCTCACCTTCGGCCCCCACGTCGTCTACTACTCCGCCACCCCCCTGTAAGCTAACTTCCTCTCTCCCCCTCCTCCCCTCTCTATCCACGAGATCCGTATCCCAAACGTGTTAGATCTGTGTCCGTCAAGCTGTCTGGTCCTTGCTTGGTTGCGTGATCCGGGCACGGCGGAGTAGGAGTGCCGGACACTGTTGGTTCCGCGTGCGATTTTGGCTCGTCGGATGGGGTTTTGATCAGTGCGGTTTCAGTGAATTTTGCTCAGTTGAGGCAGGGTTAGGAGGGTATTGGTTTAATGCGTGGTGTAGACGAGTTTCTACTGAAATGTTCGCTTGGATTCGGGCTTTGTCGGCTGAATTGTGCTGTTCGAATTGAATCTGATTGGTTTAGTCATAATTAGTGTGGTTTATGTCTCCTCTACTGTCAAGTAAGTTCAGAGCATTGTAGCTCATTTTGTAAGTTGGATGGGAAGATGATACAGTAGAAGACTTGCCTGTGTGAGTTGCACGCTAACAATATGAAGTGCTCTGAGTAATGAACTCGAACCTCGTCAAGAACTTGATGTTAGTTAAACAAGAGAGTACATGGTAATTCTATCCATGTGCTGAGTAAAGAGTTACTATGCGATTGTCTGATAGTGATATGAAGCTGTAACACATTCTAGCTGCGGTGAAGACATTTGAAGTATTGATAATAATTCTAGGAAGGTAGTAACTGTATTTAAGTAGACACCGTTATTTGTAATTGGTGTAACGCCCAACCAATACTAAGCTAATCAGATTTGATTTGAAACAAAAAAATGATTGTTTCCTTTATTTTTTCATTTTTACTTTGTAAGACAGAGGCACTAATTCCACACAAGGAGCAACCAAGGGTTACAAAGAGTGTGGAAGAAGACTTTGCTTTTATTTTTGGGCTAGGTCTAGAAGGCACTTTCTCCTTTCAATTTGTATTCTTTTCCTTTATGGAAATGTTGTTTAGTTGCGTCAATCATAGACAAGGCATACGCCCGGATAATTTTTACTCTTAGGTTTGTTTCTTGTTAGCAATACTCCAAATGTATACGACTACACAGTGGCGGTGCTAGTCCTTGTTTGTGATGTCAAGTGACAACATAAAATTTGGGTTAGCTGCACTAATAGGCTTGTGATTAACTATAGCTGATCCACATATTGCATAAGTATATAGCGTTGACATCACTGGGTCTGACTCCTAGCGCCGCCGCTGTGACTACAGTAAGTATGCGTTCTATTAAAGCACCTTCACAGAATTTCAAAGTTTGCATTATACTAAAGCACGGTTACAAAGCTCCAAAGCTGCCTACTCGATTAGTCATGCATGACAATTAGCCTGTCCCTGGAATGTTACAAGTGTGAGTTGTGAGTTATGTAAGACATGCTACAAGTCCTGGGCAAATTCAGTTCAACAAAGTTTCTGATCACGACCAATCAGAGCACTACAAAAAATAAACAGCAAACCATTGTGGTATGACCTTCATATGTGAACAATATCCTTCGGCACACATAGAAAAAGCATCAGCAGAAACAACCTTTGAAAAATATCTACTACACATCTTGCCACCTCCCCATCATCCAAGAATCACTTAGCAAATTTGTAAATAAATCTTACACTATATGATCTCTAACTTATCTGGACTCCAGCAGGTAGTTTTTTAAACGGCAAGACCTAGCTTGGCCTGCACAAATGCTAGTCCACATATTTTTTATTATAGGTCCATGATCAATCATCAGCCCATCACACGCACCCATATTATCTACACCATCTTGCAATTTTGTTAAGCATCTGAAGTATCATCAATGGTAGCATACACCATCAACATCTTTCCCTTTTGCGCACATTGCTCTTTTTGCCCGTGCTTCTATGGCAACTACCAATCTACAGTACTTCCCACCAATTATGACAGTGGGTGCCATGGATCTGTATAGGCAGTGGCATTCAGCACAGGTGGAAACCCATGTCTTTCCTGTGGAAGCAGTGTTGTGTGCAGCTCCAGGGCATGGTGTCAGCTGCCAGATGTTGCTGAACATGCATCAGGTTCTTTATGCATACTATGATGGCGATGAGGCTGCTGTATATGGGAAGCACGCTGCCAACCTACTTCCATATGTCCCTTCTGGTGGTTGATGAGCGGGTTATATACTCCAGTAATAAGAGTTGCACACTAGTGTGTGATTGTTAAAAGATAAGTACCAATGGTTAAGGGGTGTAGTCCAGTAATAACTTTCACATACTATCGTGTGTGACTCATCGAAATAAGAACCATAAATGAGGTATTGATCTGCTGCATTAAACACTGGTGTAAAAGCAGTAATAAGTTTCCCATACTACCTTTTGCAGGTCAGAGTATGACACGATTGGCACTAGTGTAAAAGCAGCTGTTGTTTATCTGGGAGCAGCACTTGTAAAGGTGAGTAACTAGTTGTGGATTTTTAGTACCATGATTGACATGCCCAAACAATCCACCATTCATTAATCTGTCATTGCTTGAGAAACTTTTTAGTTGTTTGATCAATGTGCCCTTGCCAACTACTTGACTTCTACAATTAATATGTTCTTTGAAATGACCACTCAACTAGTCTTTTTCTTTATCTAACATTCATGTACCAGTTTTGACAGCAAACTGATCGTTCGAGGGTTGTATGCCACTCAGCAGGCTGATTTTTTTTCTTTGAAATTCCATTAGTTATTAAAAGGTTGTAAATGGCATCTCAATTTTCATGGTTTGTACTGGTTATCTTCCCTGCTATGCAGTCCTGTTTGTCCAAAAATCACAGTACAAGTTGAAGCTTGTCATCCTGATATTGTCAGCTTAGCCTGTTTGTTATTCTTGGTTCTTTTTATTACCACATGATGTTTTACATTGCCTAGTTTATGTTTTAGTTTTGGCATATAGTTTTCTATGCTTATCACCAGTTGCATGGAAGAGATTTGTGGGATTGCTAACCATTGCTATTTTATAATGGCAGCTTGTTTGCTTAGCAACATTCCTCAAAGTGCCTGATGCGAATGATAGCTTTGATCCCTACCAGGTATATTTTACGCACTTTGACAAAACATGCCTGGATTTACCCTGTTTGCCAGTGTATCTAATCTTCCGATTATTTTCAACCCTGCAGGAATTAATGAAAATTCTAATTGGGTTTATAGATGTTGCTGGCCTTTATTTTGCTTTGACACAGTTGACCCACAGAAACATCTCCCAGAACCATAAGTTCCAGGCTGTTGGTCTTGGTGAGTTCGTAGTTGTGCTTGTTCACTTTCTGATTTCATTTAGCTGAAGTGTGTCTTGTCAAATTATAACATTTCATCGATAGTCACATATGTTTGTTTTAATCTTATTTCCCATCTCCATTCTGTATGTTCACCTTCCTCACTACACCTTTAAATTCCAACTTTTCCTTCTATACTGTGCTGGTCAACCTTTTTATAAACAGATGCATTTCTGATGTCGATGTTTGTAATTGCTGCTTGCCTTTTAGCTGTACTGAAATTTGTTTTCGTGCTCATGCTTTTGTCATTCACACAATTGAAAGAATAGAGACATGCTTATTTTGGCTACTGATAGCGTTTCTCAGGAAATTGAATGCTCTTACTTCACTTTATTATTTAAATTGAATTGGGCCTCCTTAAGTTTGTTACTCCAGATAAATTGGGAAGTGATACAATACTTCGACTTATTTCCAGCTGCAATTTAACCTTATCTTGACTACCATTGATCTATTGGACTTTTTTGGGGTTTCAGGCTGGGCTTTTGCTGATTCAGTTCTGCACCGGCTGGCACCTCTCTGGATTGGGGCACGAGGGCTTGAATTTACTTGGGAGTACATATTCCAAGGGCTCGAAGCAAATGCCAATCTTGTAATGCTACTATATAGTGTGAAAAATATAATGTCAGCTTCCTTTTTTTGATTATCCTAATTTCAGAAGACTTACTTTTGTACTTCTGCAGGTGATGACCCTCTCCCTTGCCGCATTAGGATCCTTGATGTGGCTGAGGAAGAACAAACCTAGGACTTTAATTCCAATAATTTATGCATGTGCTCTGCTTCTGGCAACAATGCCATCTATCACCAGGTAATCCCGTTTCTATCTGCAGTAATCCTCAAAAAGAATAATTATCATGCTTCAACATATGTTGATGTTCTTATTTCCTTTTTTTTTTGAGAAACTGTTCTTGGTTATGAAGTACTAGCAAGTAGATGTTGGTAAATCTTGCAGGATTTGTGTCAATCTATGTATATTGGCTTAATACCTACCTCCTACACGTGGTCAATACGGATCTGAGAAAAATATATCCATCCACAAACATTTCTGCTGTATTCCATATAACTTTTGACCTACTGCCATTCTTGTCCAAAATTTCATTACAGTCCTATCATGCTAACTCTAAAGTCGGTGCATCTCTCCTATCCATGGAATATCCTTAGTTACAAGTCAGTAATGATTGTCTTAGAACTTTATCTCTCCTTGTGGACCACTGAAATTTTAGGACACACAGAGAGTTCAGTTAATGGTATCCGAAGTAAAGCCCTATCGTGTGCTGCACAATAGCATGTGTATGAAACATCACAAGCCATTGCAACTTGAGTAAATATTATCTTGGAAGTAATATCACTTGTTTGCCAAGTTTACTAGGGCAGTTTCTTTCAAATCAGGCATGCTCATGTTGACATTTTTAGTGGATACGTACTAAAATATTTAGAATGATCAAATTATTTTCTACCTGTTTTCAGTTGAAACATCGTTCTGTATTCATCACCATTTGGTCCATTTGTTTATGTGCTGCACTTTCACGGCCATGTTATTCAATTATTTTTTGTTCATTCTTGTTCACGCTGCTAAACATGCTGAAACGATGCTGCAGTTACTTACGGAGATCATTGGAGTGGCAGACTCCCAAGGTGGTCGGCTTCGAGCTCTTCTCCTCGCTGGTTATGGCTTTCATCAGCTGGCAGCTGTTCTCGGCTTGCCAGAGGCCAATGTAATCAACAGAACAAAGCACTGCTAGCTTTACCGGAGATCGGGCGCTCCCGAGATGTCTCTTTTTGTACTTGGGCAAAATTAGAATGCTGCTTAGAGCCTTGCCACTACCATAACTATTTTTTGAGGGTTCTTTAGCAGAACGTTTTACTTATTTGTCTGCTATAGTGCAGAAACACATGATCTAATGAGCGCCACTGTAACAGGTGCTCTTGTAGGAATCGAGCTAAAACGTAGCACCTTTATTCCCTGTTCTGTGTATTGCATATTCTGCTCAATAGCATTGCATCTTCTAGTCTGAAGCCAGGACATTCACAGATTTACGAGAAAATGCACCGTCGTTTCAGGAAGATGTCAGACAATGTTGCATTATGACTTCTGAATGTTGTGCTATCAGTTTTGCAGAACATTTTCCCTTTCGAAGTGTATTCCTCCTAGGAATTCTAAGAAACTAAGGTCAACATGGGCATATTCTTGTGAATCGAATGCCCCGCGGGTGAAAATCTTGTAGTTATTCTCCAAGCCTGAAGAGAGTACACTGTTGTTTCAGATTTCTCACCTTACTACCAAGTATGTATGACTTTGGGTCTGAAAGTTGTTAGACAATGGTGCACTATGACCTATGAACATTTTCCCTTTCGAAGTGTACTCTTTCTAGAGAAGAATCATACAAGCGGCGGACAATCGAGACAAATTTGCAGGGCTGAGCCTCCAAAAATGTGTTTCCGGGGTATTCATCAATCAATTGTCATTGATACAAAACCAAATGTAAAACAGCATACATCACGTTTTATATATCACGGCTTACGCGCCAGCCAAACAGCAGCAGCCTGAACCGAACTGAAACGGCTGGTCAGGGCAGGCACACGGCGGTGGGTTGGGTTTCACTCACTCCTCCGACTCCTCGTAGGCCGCCTCGGCCCGGAGCAGCACGAAGCCGACGGCGACGCCGACGAGCGTGAGCGCGTTCATGACGACGGCGATCTGGAAGATCTCGCCGGCGGCGTTGCACTGCGCGCCGAACGAGCCCCCGCGCCTCTTGCCCGCGGGGCTGAGCGACGCCACGATCCTGGCGAACTTGTAGTCGGCGCTCTTGCGCACGCCCAGCATGGTCACCTTGTTGAGCCCCTTGAGGCCGCTGTAGGCGTTCATGCCCTCCACGTACGTCACGCCGGACCTCTTCTTCGCCGCCGCCGCCGCCGGCGCGCCGGCCAGCTGCGGGAGCGTGGCCACGGAGAGCGACGCCATCGATCGAGCTCGGCTGAACCTGCACGCGAACCCACGGAAACAAAGCAAGGACTGAGTAATCCGCAGCTGATTGGTGGCGAGCTGCGATCTGGTACGGGAATGCGGCTTGGATCGCTTACCTTTTGGAGTTCTTGGAGCTGGAGGAGGAGGAGGAGGAGGGAGTGTGGCCGGCTGCGGTGCTTGGGGTTGGGTGGGTCACATGGAGGGAAAGGAAGGAGTGGTTTTGTACGGGGGATCAGGGGAGGATAAGGTGCGGGAGGCAACGGGCGGTGGCCGGAGGGCAGTTTATCCTTGCTCCTCCAAAGGAGAAGGTCCAATTGGTGGCTAGATGGATCCCCATTGGCCGGACCTGGTCCACATGTGCATGCTTCCCCCTTTGTTGTTTCGCGAGAGTCGTTCGTGGAATCCACACGCTGGCCTAGGAGTAGTACAGTTTACTTCTTTTTTAGGATCCCATACTTTATTAGTAATTTGGAACAATATTCAAAGGGATACAAAGAGGGTCATGAGAGGAAATAAGCGAAAATTTTACAAAATTGCGAGCCTCATCATTTGAAGCACGACCTTCGAACATAAAATCAAAACAAGTAAAATGTGCTCTTCTATTATCTATCTCCTTGACGACTGTGATATGAGGGCCTCCTACCCCTTTTATGATGTCATCCACAATCGGTTTGCAGACACTAGCAATTATCAAGTGATCCAAAGATAGATCATCCGCAAGTGCTAAAGCCTCACGACAAGCAATGGTCTCTAAAACTGTAGGGTTTCCCCGCAAAAAAAAACTGTAGGGTTAATAACACCGGGTGGAACAATTGATGAGGACCCAAGGTAGTGACCGTGTTCATCCCTGTATACTGCCGCCGCAGCTCCAACACGCCCATCATTGGACAAAACCCCATCTACATAGATTTTAACGTGTCCATTCGGAGGGGGTTTCCAACAGCTTCTCATTGGTATTACAAGTGCACGTCCTGCCGAAGTGGAAGTCCTGGCAATGTTGAGGCCATCCAACTCGGGGATGAAGCTCTCAGACAAAACGGTGGGTAGACATTGGTCTTTGGAAGATAGACTCATGTATTGCTTTTCGACGAGCGGTCCATAGTGCCCAAAGAGTGACGACCATCTTCACAAACTCCGCATGTGATAATGAATCCATCATGTTAAAAAGCCAGTTTTTTGCATTGGGTTCATGAGACTCAACAATTTGATCAGTTAATTTCTCATCACCTAAGGCACAAACACACCTCGAAGTTGTGCAATCAATCAACGAGTGCCTCCAAGAATCGGCAGCTCCACAAAGTTGGCAAAAATCCGCGTTGCACATATTTTTATGGTGGCGCACGTCCTCCGATAGCAAATAATGTTTTGCCAGCCTCCAAAGGAAAGTTATAATTTTCCCAGGGACTTTGGTGTTCCAAAGAGATGACCAGCTCTTCTCCTATGCCTCGCGATTGAACGTAGCTCCTCTCTGATCAAGCAAGTTATCCCGGGTGTTTCTCAAGTTCACTGATGTCTACTACGCAACCTTCTTCTTGTAGACTCGTGTTGGTACTCCAAGCGCAAAGTTTTGTAGGACAGTAGCAAATTTTCCTCAAGTGGATGACCTAAGGTTTATCAATCCATGGGAGGCGTAGGATGAAGATGGTCTCTCTCAAACAACCCTGCAACCAAATAACAAAGAGTCTCTTGTGTCCCCAACACACCCAATACAATGGTAAATTGTATAGGTGCACTAGTTGCGAAGAGATGGTGATACAAGTGTAATATGGATGGTAGATATAGATTCTTGTAATCTGAAAATATAAAAACAGTAAGGTAGCAAGTAATAAAAGTGAGCAAAAATGGTATTAAAATGCTTGGAAACAAGGCTAGGGTTCATACTTTCACCAGTGCAAGTTCTCTCAACAATGATAATATAATTAAATCATATGGCAATCCCTCAACGTGCAACAAAAGTCACTCCAAAGTTCCTATCGCGGAGAACATAAGATGAAATTGCTTGTAGGGTACAAAACCACCTCAAAGTTATTCTTTCCGATAAATCCATTGAGCTATTCATATAAGTGTCGCAAATAGCCATAGAGTTCGTAGTAAAATAACATCATATGATACACATCAATCGACCCTAATGTCACCTAGATACTCCAATGTCACCACAAGTATCCGTGGGTCAATTATACGATATGCATCAAACAACTTCAGATTCATAATATTCAATCCAACACAAAGAATCTCAAAGAGTGCCCCAAGATTCCTACCGGAGAAACAAGGACGAAAACGTGCATCAACCCCTATGCATAGATTACCCCAATGTCACCTCGGGAATCCGCGAGTTGAATGCCAAAACATACATCAAGTGAATCAATAGAACACCCCATTGCCACCACGGGTATCCCACGCAAGACATACATCAAGTGTTTTCAAATCCATAATAGTGAAACCTCAAAGGTAAAACTCAATTCATCACAAGAAGGTAGAGGGGGAGAAACACCATATGATCCAACTATAGTAACAAAGCTCGCGGTACATCAAGTGAAGGAAATATGCCCTAGAGGCAATGATAAAGTTGTTATTTATATTTCCTTATATCATGATAAATGTTTATTATTCATGCTAGAATTGTATTAACCGGAAACTTAGTACATGTGTGAATACATAGACTAACAGAGTGTCCCTAGTATGCCTCTAGTTGACTAGCTCGTTAATCAAAGATGGTTAAGTTTCCTAGCCATAGACTGTTGGGGAACGTAGTAATTTCAAAAATTTCCCTACACACACGCAAGATCATGGTGATGCATAGCAACGAGATGGGAGAGTGTTGTCCACATACCCTCGTAGACCGAAAGCGGAAGCATTAGCACAACACGATTGATGTAGTCGTACGTCTTCACGATCCGACCGATCAAGTACCGAACGCACGGCACCTCCGAGTTCTGCACACGTTCAACTCGATGACGTCCCTCGAACTCCGATCCAGCCGAGTGTCGAGGGAGAGTTTCGTCAGCACGACGGCGTGGTGACGATGATGATGTTCTACCGATGCAGGGCTTCGCCTAAGCACCGCTACGATGTGATCGAGGTGGATTATGGTGGAGGGTGTTGGAAATATGCCCTAGAGGCAATAATAGATTAGTTATTATTATTATATTTCATTGTTCATGATAATCGTTTATTATCCATGCTAGAATTATATTGATAGGAGACTCAGATACATGTGTGGATACATAGACAACACCATGTCCCTAGTAAGCCTCTAGTTGACTAGCTCGTTTATCAATAGATGGTTACAGTTTCCTGACCATGGACATTGGATGTCGTTGATAACGGGATCACATCATTAGGAGAATGATGTGATGGACAAGACCCAATCCTAAGCCTAGCACATAGATCGTGTAGTTCGTATGCTAAAGCTTTTCTAATGTCAAGTATCATTTCCTTAGACCATGAGATTGTGCAACTCCCGGATACCGTAGGAATGCTTTGGGTGTACCAAACGTCACAAGGTAACTGGGTGGCTATAAAGGTTCACTACAGGTATCTCCGAAAGTGTCTGTTGGGTTGGCACGAATCGAGACCGGGATTTGTCACTCCGTGTAAACAGAGAGGTATCTCTGGGCCCACTCGGTAGGGCATCATCATAATGTGCACAATGTGACCAAGGAGTTGATCACGGGATGATGTGTTACAGAACGAGTAAAGAGACTTGCCGGTAACGAGATTGAACAAGGTATCGAATCTCGGGCAAGTACAATACCGTTGGACAAAGGGAATTGTATACGGGATTGATTGAATCCTCGACATCGTGGTTCATCGATGAGATCATCGTGGAACATGTGGGAGACAACATGGGTATCCAGATCCCGCTGTTGGTTATTGGCCGAAGAGTTGTCTCGGTCATGTCTGCATGGTTCCCGAACCCGTAGGGTCTACACACTTAAGGTTCGGTGACGTTAGAGTTGTTATGGGAAATTGTATGTGGTTAGCGAAGGTTGTTCGGAGTCCCAGATGAGATCCCAAACATGACGAGGAGCTCCGGAATGGTCCGGAGGTGAATATCGGTATATTGGACGAAGGGTATTGGAGTCCGGAATTGTTCCGGGGGTACCAGGTGATGACCAGCGTGTCCGAAAGGGGTCTCGGAGGCCCCGGCAAGCGTTGGGGGGCCTTATGGGCCAAGGGGAGAGGGCACATCAGCCCACTAAGGGGATGAGCGCCCCTCCCACCCCATCTCACGTAACCAGGAGAGGTGGGGGCGCCACCCCTAGGGCAGCCGCTCCTCCCGGCTTGGGGGCAAGTTTCCTAGGGGGTGGGGGCGCCCAAACCCATCTAGGGTTTCCCCTATGGCCGCCGCCCCTCCCCTAGGGAACCCTAGGGCGCCTCCCCTCCTCCCTTCCCCTATATATAGTGAGGGAGATAGAGGGCAGCCGCACCCTTCCCCTGGCGCAGCCCTCTTCCTCCTCCAACACCTCATCCTCCTCCGTAGTGCTTGGCGAAGCCCCGCCGGAGAACCACGAGCTCCATCACCACCATGCCGTCGTGCTGTCGGAGTTTTCTCTCAACTTCTCCTCTCCCCTTGCTGGATCAAGAAGGAGGAGACGTCTCCCAACCGTACGTGTGTTGAACGCGGAGGTGCCGTCCGTTCGGCGCTAGGATCATCGGTGATTTGGATCACGACGAGTATGACTCCATCAACCCCGTTCACTTGAACGCTTCCGCTTAGCAATCTACAAGGGTATGTAGATGCACTCTCCTTCCCTCGTTGCTAGATTACTTCATAGATTGATCTTGGTGATGCGTAGAAAATTTTGAATTTCTGCTACGTTCACCAACAGTGGCATCATGAGCTAGGTCTATGGGTAGTTTCTATGCACGAGTAGAACACAAGTTGTTGTGGGCGTCGATTTTGTCAATTTGCTTGCCGTTACTAGTCTTATCTTGATTCGGCGGCATCGTGGGATGAAGCGGCCCGGACCGACCTTACACGTACTCTTACGTGA